TGTGTATATGTGTGTGTGCGTGCGTGTGTGTATCAGTGTCTTAATATTAATGTGTGTCTAACATTGCTGATATAGAGTGTGCGATGGATAAATTGCCGTCTAAATTACGCAAAAATCAAAATAACACTAACATCTTATTCTAACAAAATTACACAAAATATCTTAAAATACTAAAGAGTAAGTATATTCAATAAAATCGCCATTGGCTTCAACCACAGCCTGCAGAAAACTTTGGAATCTCCTGCAACTTTTCTGGACGGTCTCTTTGTTTAAGTTGGTGAATGCTGCTATAATCCTTGCCTTCAGCATATCTTTGGTGTTCCAAGGAGTTTTGTTGATCTCTCGCTCAACTGCGCTCCACAAATTAATAATCAAGGAGTTGCAGTCCGGTGAGTTAGATGGCCAGATGTTAGGGGTGGTTTGGTTGCAGAAATTGTCTGACAGCCATGATTGGGTTTTCCTGTTTGTGTGGCATGGTGCAAAGTCCTGTTTCCAGAGATACGATCTTCCAGTAGCCAAACTCTTCACCCAGGGCAGCATTACTTCCTCAATGCACTTGATGTAGGCTTCCGTGTTGTGTTTGAGAACCTGTTGGAAAACGAATGCAGGCAGTGTTCTTTTCCAAAAAATGTCCTGGTAATTAAGCTTTAGCTCACTTCTATTAAAAAAGTACCAGTAGTATAATTATCAGTAGAATAATTTAATCCAAACACCTTTGTAATCACCATTAGACTTATCAAACTCTTTTCGAACCCTCTGCACAGTCATCAGTTTGACCCAAACACTCTAAAATGTTCATATTGGAATTTTCGACACGAAAAACCATTCAGAATGTCGTTACCAAATTTCTGGCGGAGTGAATGACGTCATAGTCCTCTTTTTCACAGACCAAAATGACCCTACTATACTCTGCTGTTGAAAAATCAAAAACAAACAACGCGCATGCGCGAAATTAAAAATATAAAATGGCGAAAATTTAACCATTTCACTATATATATATATATATATATATATATATGATAAGCAAATATAAATGGATATAAATCCGACAGAATGAAGAAAATATCTGGAAAAACAAAACAAAAAAAAAAATGCGATTATGTTGTTTTAATATGAATGAAATGTCGACGTCTGACGTTTTCGGTTTAAAAACCTTCTTCAGGACAATATTCATTAAAAATACAATTAACATAATCAGTATAACACGACGAAAATGATGGACATAAAAACAAGTCTTATCCAAAACAACGTGACCACGCTCAAACGGAAAGCTGATCATTTAAAAATTTTCATTTATCTGTTTTGGATATATTTGCTTATCATACTGTCCACTGGAAATACAAACCTGAATTCATTTTATTACATGGAGGACTGCATGATTATCCGAAGATACAGGATTCCTACAAGAACAGAAAAGATTTTCTAACGAACTGTATATATGAAAAATCTTTCCATCGGAATCAAATTTATAAAATTTTTAAGATTACGTTGTTTAAAGCATCGCCCATTTGACGACAACGTGACCACGCTCAAACGGAAAAAGCTGATCATTTAAAATTTTCATTTATCTGTTTTGGATAAGACTTGTTTTTATGTCCATCATTTTCGTCGTTTATACTGATTATGTTAATTGTATTTTTAATGAATATTGTCCTGAAGAAGGTTTTAAAACCGAAACGTCAGACGTCGATATTTCATTCATATTAAAAATAACATAATCGCATTTTAAGGATTTTTTTTGTTTTGTTTTTCCAGATATTTTCTTCATATATATATATATATATATATATATATATATATATATATAAAGGCAGGATGTGTGTGTGTGTGTGTGTAACGAATGCACGACCGCAATTTTCGACGGATTTGCACCAAAATTTACATGCAGATGCTCCAAGATAGAGGGAAGATCACGACTGACTTTGCATTTCCCAACTCCCATCGATAGTGGAAATAATCGATTTTTTCTTGCTTCTACGGCAGTTTTCATGTAGTTTGCGGCCATTTTCTACTGCCCAGAGTGAGAGCCTATAGCTGGCTGCCACGAAAAGGCAGGAAGATTCTATTGGCCAGAATGAGAGCCAACAGCTGACTGACACGAATGTTAACTAGCATGCAAAAAAATCGATAGCTGCATTCGTCACAAGTGGGAAAAATTTAAATTTGCATGGCACTTTACTTCAATTGTCTCATTCGCTTGCTTAAACTCAACGTTGATTCTGATTCCGCAGAACTGGGTTGGGTATGAAAAAGTATTTGTTGTTAACATTCTTTTTTCATTCGGTTTTTCCAGTTACGAGTCCTTTTTTAAAGCTGATCGTTTTGAGTATATTTTGTTTAGTTCTTTTTTCGTAACAGATTTAATGTTTAGTATAGAACATAGAAAAAATTCACAGTGTGAGATAAGCAAGAAGTAAGGCATGTAGCAACATCAGCACGGCAAAGGGCACTCCTTTAAAGGCAAGGAAGGGCAAAAATATTTTAATTCAAGTGATAATGATTGCTGTATGAGTCGTACGATTTTTTGAATCAAGCACAGGCAACGCCTGGCCATGCTGCTGCAGTATATATATATATATATATATATATATATATATATATATATATATATATTAAAATGTATCAAATCCGACATATTTTTATTTTTAATTTATATTGTTTAAACGTTATTTTTTATGGATACTTATATTCGAAGAGATGCTCTGTTTTTTTGTCATTAAACAGTATTTTTATCCAACTACATCAACTTGTCAGAAAGATATGCGTCCTCTGACTTAGTTTGAGGAACTAAAAGTTCGTAACTCCCCCCCCACCACCACCACTTCCGGGCAAAGGGAAGTAACTGTTCCATCTGCCCAGAGGGATGCAGGTTCTAATCCTGACGTACAACGTATTTTTTTGTGCTCATCATTTTTCTAAGACAAAATTTTTGTGTTCATCCGAAAATTAATTTTTTACGTGTGATGTGTAAAACGCTAAGTTTATGCACTGTTCATTTTTTTAATTTTCTAAAATATTTAGACATTACAATAACTTTGTTACCTCCCTTGATGTTTGTACGTGTAGCTACATGATAAAATAAAAAATTATACTATACATAAACTTAGCATTTTTCATTTCACACGTAAAACATTTAATTCTTAGATGAACAGAATAATTGTCTTAGAAAAATTAAAGACCCGATGATGACACACACAAACACACACACACGCGCACACACATACACACACACACATATATATATATATGCAATTTTTATGTATATTATTTATATATTATATATACGCAAATTTATTGGAAAGCGCTCAATATCAGTCATAGAGCTAACATATTTTTTTAGGTTGGTGTGAGTTTGATGAATGGGTTTTCAAACTTTATTTGCAATCGTCAGCCAGTTTGTCTGACGATCGCAAATAGCGTGAAATCTAATTCTTTCAAACCAATCAACTAACTAAAGTATATATATATATATATATATATATATATATATATATATATATATATATATATGTGTGTGTGTGTGTGTGTGTGTGTGTGTGTGTGTATGTATAAATATATAAATATATATATATATATATATATATATAATTATTTACATATTATATGCGCGGTACTTATTAGAAAGCGCTCAATATCAGAGATAGAGCTAACATATTTGGTTGGACTGATGTGAGTTTGTGATGATGGGTTTCACGCTATTGCGATCCAGTTTGTCTGACGATGGCAAGAGCGTGAAAACTCAGGGTCACAAACTCACATCAGTCCATATATATATATATATATATATATATAACTATATATGTGTGTGTGTGTGTGTGTGTGTGTGTGTGTGTGTGTGTGTGTGATGATTGTGTATTTTTTAATGTCTTCAAGTGATCAATGCGCAAGCTGGGGATTCAGATTCTGATTTTAAGGTAGACAGGATCTTCCCATCTGAACGACTGCAGCAACATGATCTTCCTACCCATCACTCTATCTCCGTGCTGGGTTAAGCTAACCACATCCGTAAATCTTCAGTTCCACCATTTTGTTTCAATCTCTTTATTTGCAGAGCTGCGTCTTATTCTTCAGGCATATTTGTGTAACCAAACCAAATGATAATCCCACCCCGTCATGCAGTAGCTTCTTCAAGCACAATACCGACCATGAACCGCGCCCTTCTTCGACATTTCCTACCGGTATCCATTTTGATCTGCTCTTATTATTGGCTGGCTGACTCCAAGCCCACAAAAAAAAAAAAAAAAAAATACTGTCTTGGTATTTAGGTCAGTTGTTAAGGTACTGGCCGTTGTGTCTATAAATGAACGAGCAGCTGAACATGAAATTATAGTTGTTCTTATTCATGTGCTCTGTTATCTGCTACAATAATCATTTCACACCTATTTCTATCAACAATAGACTCTAAACAATCCCGGTTTCGGTCGAGAGGCGACCCGTCCCACCTTGAATTCCGTTAGATTACTCGACAATTTACTTAACTCTGACACTGCCACGCAGTCATAAAACTGTCACCGTCATCAAATGTTGACCGACTGCCATAATATTCTCAAGGATAGATCCAGAACCAGCGTGAAGGGTGCGCTTCAATCTGGTCTTAAAAATTTCCCATCTTCTTTTGACACCATCTCGCTTTTTCATCGTTTCCGTAATACAAATCCGCATTTATTTTACTTTTTCTATCTTAAAAATGAATAATCTTGACTTGAGAATTATTTTCTACCTTTTTCATTCGATAATTTTTTTCTAGCTCAATTAAAACTTTCACTACAACATTGATGCCTGACTGTACTGACCCGTTTTGGAAAAAAAAACTATTTACGAGAAATAAATGACTATAACGTTTTTTGACGGAGATTTTTCATGGGCGCTACCCTATTAGTTTTGGCTAATGGGCATATCACGTTGAAACACCGGTTCTCGTACGATCGCTGAAGTTAAGCAACGTCGAACATGGTCAGTACCTAGATGGATAACTACTTGGAAATACCAGGTGTTGTAAGCTTGAATATAAGAGTGGTGTCATGTATAATTGGTCGGGATTGGAAATCAAAGAGCATAGTTCGAATTCCACTTGGTTATATTCATTTACGCACAAATACCCTTGAGAAGGGCATTAATCCACCTATTCTCCTCCAAGCTATGGGTTAATTAGTGGGACTTCTATCAGTAAATCATTATTATCTCCAAAAAATTCTTACAATCTAAACATAGTTTCTGGCGTTAAATAAACTGCAAAAAGGTTGATAAGCCGTAAAAATGAAATCACTCAATCCATATATATATATATATATATATATATATATATATATATATATATATATATATTTTTTTGTCAGATACTATGCATGGCAGACTAAGCTAAAAGTCACCCCTTTTACAGAATATAATAAAGAATACTTGCAAAACACGTCGTACTGTACTATATCTACACAAGTTTGGAAATAGCATTAATCAAAGTTAGTTTATAATGCAAAATATAAGGTATCGACGTTTCACAGTCTCTTGGAAAACTATATATATATATATGTATATATATATATATATATATATATAAACAAGCATTCAATGTAAGCTTCATAAATAAACTATGTATAGATTTTGAAAACATACCGTATTTGCCGGCCTATTGGGCGCAGCCAGAATTTGGCATAGATTATTGTATATATCATTTATTTGTTTATATTTATTTATTTAGAGTTTATTTATTTATTTATATTTATTTATCATATTATATATTGTAAGTATTGTTGATAATAAAAAATAATATATGGGACGACATTTCACAGCCTCTTGAAAAAAAATATATATATATATATATATATATATATATATATATATATATATATATATATATATATATATATATATATAAGCAAATATATGGATATACATCCGACAGTATGAATAAAAAATATATAGGAAAAAACAAAAAAAAATAAATAATATGCAATTATGCTGTTTTAATGTTAATATAATTTAACATTAGACGTTTCGGTCTGTTAATTTCGTTTTATTCATATGTCATAACATTTTCTACTAGACTAAACGTCCGACGTTGACATTATATTAACATTAAAACAGCATAATTGCATATTAGGATTTTTTTTTCCTATATTTTTCTTTCATATATATATATATATATATACGTCGGCAGCAGGCAATGTAAGCTTCATAAATAACCTATGTATAGATTTTAAAAACGTACCTTATTTGCCGACCTATTGGACGCAGCCAGATTTTGGCAAAGAATATTTAGGGAAAACACGCATATATCATAACCAAAAAGAATCAACGTTATAACATTACCTTTCTGTGACATTCTCATTAACCATGAAGAAACATTAATTATACTACTGGTAATTTTTTTTTAATTACCTAGACATTTGTTGTGATGAAATGTACTAAAAATTTTCTTTTAATTGAAAATTGTTTTAGTTGTTTTTCATGGAACAGAACAATATCTGCACATACAGTAAATTCATAATAACTACAAAGAAATCTATTGGTATCGGTTAACTCTGGTACATATGATAACAGATAAAACACAGAAATACGGTACTTGTTGTTGAATGAAGTCCCATACCATATATGCAGAAAAGAAAATACCTGTATATCAACAAAAACACACACAAAGCAAGTAAATATTTCAAAGCAAATATTTCTGTAAAATCTGGTATTTCTATAAAACAAGTAGCAAAATTTGTACAATTCCATATATTTCTTAATTTCTTTTTCTTGATTCAATATTTCAGAGATAGTTTTATTGATATCACGTTTGTTCGCTTCAAGGAGTCCTAGTTTCATAGCTCTATGCATGCACTGATTCCTGGTGAATCCCACCGTTTTCCGCGTCTTCATGTCCCTCTCACATGATACTGCTGTATTGGACGGGGGGTAATTTTCTGGTGCATTTTAAAAGTGTTAATAGGCTGGCAAATACGGCATATATCCGACAGTATTTTCGTAAAAAACGTATAAATATGTCCTCAATAGCGTGAGTATAATTTATTGGACGATACCAAATTTGTATCAAGACAGCATCTGTCATACTGTCTTTTCTTAGAACATATACTGGTGCCTTATATTAATGCATCAGTATAGTTTTAGCAAAAATAAAGCCTTTAAACGATATAATCTTATGTACGAGAATGAACCTGTGAAAACTGCTTACCTGGACACAGTTGGCTGCTGTCACTTTCAAACACTCTCCTGATGCAGATATACACTTCGGGAAATGATGGTGCCGTTGTTGGAACTTCTTGGAACTAATTTTCCAGAATAGTTTTCAGTAACGTATTTTTATCAATTCCCACCCAAGCAAAATGAGAATGCCACTAAGATACTACTGGGAATGAAAGAGAATAAAAAATTTTTTAGAAGAAACTGAAAACTCACCCCTAAACAGGGAACAAGAGACAAACGTCTACTCTTGCTAAAAAAGACCGTGGAGCATTTTGAACCGGACAATAGACGAATCTATCTACTCCTATTGCAGGAAAAATAGTAAATAAAATTTCAGAGTTTAGGCAGAGACATTAGAAGTATAGGGTTGAAGTAAACGTTTGAAGGAACCGGAAAACCAATCCTAATCAGGGCTCAAGAGATAAAGGCCGAGTGATAGAAAACCTATCTACCCATTTAGGTAGATCTCAGTGATGTCAGTAAAATATTTGGTCTTTCAGTTTTGGAAATAGTAAAAAATCGCAGAGCACTGTGTAGAATAAAAATAATAAACAGCACTTACTGGCGTAAGGGTCCCAGCTAGCGTCCAGCTGGCAGACAAAAATAAAGCAGTTTGTAACTTAATACAAACCCTGCAAACTAACTGATGAATCAAGCTGGTATTTATACAGAAATACCTCCACTCATGTACCAGCAGCCAATCACAGCCCAAGCAATGGACTATCCCACTTTAGCACAATGAGATGCTCCATGGCACCATAAATAGCTCTCTTAAGGTTGAGTTATTATTCACTCAGCTTGCTCCACAACTGAGTGCTTATCTTTACCACGTGATTGTTCAACACACTGTATGTTGAATATGGTGAATAATCAATTTTGTAATGAATTCCTTTTTTTACCCAGGAAATAGCGAACTCCAAATACATCATACGCAAAAGCAATGTCATTGTATATAATCTGATGACACAACGATTTACTCCTGTCTCGACAGCAAGTTTGATCAGTTCAATAAGGTCAAAATGGCAGCCATTTCAGTCTGGCTTATTAATTTTAACGCCACCAAAACTAAATTGCTCTCTATTAAACATCTGAGAGACAACATTTTACCTTCCATCAGTATGGCTGATGCTAACCTCCAGGAAAGAGACTCACTGCGCCTTCTCGTGCTAACATTTACGGCTGATCTGAAGTGGATAGACTATATTGAATCCATTGCTAAGTCACTTGCTAAGAAAATTGGTTCACTGTGCCGCGCGAAACAATTTTTATCCCCAGAATCTATCCTAGATATTTATAAGTCTACCATCCGTCCATGCTTAAAAGATTGCTGTCACATATGGTCCAGTGCTCCTGCTATTTATCTAAAGCTTCTTGATAAAACCCAAAGAAGAATCAGCAATATTAATAGTCCTGATCTGGTGCCTCGGTTTCAGTCACTTTCCTACCTTCGTAAGGTTTCTTCCCTGTCCCTTTTCTATAAATACTTTCACGGTAATTTAACTCTTCGCTATGGTACCTAGACTTTTTCATTTAAGCGCACTACTAGCGTCAAGATCTCATCAATCTACAGGTGAGTTGCCTTGATGTAATCGTAAGTTTCTTTTCTCGCTTGTGGAACTTCCTTCCCACTCCATGTTTTCCAAACAATTTTAATCTTCAAAAATTTAAATGTAATGTCAATCGATATCTACTGTCTTCTTCATTACTCTTTTTGTTCTCGGTATTTAGTAATGTTTCTGTTTCTAATTCTTTCATACGCAGTAACCTCTTGTGTCTCAAGTTCTTTACTGCGTTGCTTGGGGTGAACTCGATTAAAAAAAAGAATTGGGTTTCTTTTTCTTTGGTGAAAGTCTTGTGAAGCTCCCGGCACTTCCAAATAAACATTTGCATCTGTTCTTTGTGTTCTTGGCTACCCACATCTGGCGTTATCGTGCACATCATTTCGCCTTTACCTCTATTTCTTTTTAGCATATTCACTACAAGCCATTTTTAATAAAGCTAAAGTTTCTAACCGACACTTTTACTAATCTCCGTACAAAGCTTGATGCTAATGCTGCTGTTCCAGATTCCTTTCATTTCTTTTCCACCAATAGTATAACATGAACACATACAACTTCCTCTACTACTCGACATAAAAGAGTCATCTAGTGTAAAAGCGGACGCTGGTGCATGTCTGAACGTCTTTGTGTACAAATGTCTACACACTGCAGCCATTCCTGGAATTAAATTGTCACACTTCGTATATTTAACTTTTTAGAAATTCAAACCAGATACCAATAACGAAAAATGTTTTTCAAAAACGAAAACTAAGTATTAATAGATAAAAATAAAATTGCAAACGAACAACGGTACCGAAACGCCATGTAATTTCTAATTATCTCTACATCAGTGAATGTTGGACAATTTCGTATCAAATAAAAAAGATAAAAAGAACTAAATATAGTTCTACTGACGAATGTTGTGAATATCATGGAGAGAGAAAGAGAGAGAAAGAGAGAGAAAGAGAGAGGGAGAGAGAGAGAGAGAACAATTAGGAAAGTTATCAAGAGATGGAAAATACAGACGAATGCCAAAAAAAAGGAAAGGGGAAAGAATAAGTATTACTGAAAAAAGAGAGTCATGATTACACATGTCTTGAAGGAATATGGCACAGACTGAGAGAGAGAGAGAGAGAGAGAGAGAGAGAGAGAGAGAGAGAAAGAAATGTAAATTTAAGCCTCAACGACTCTGACACAGAACAAATGAATAAAATACGGATACAGCTCGATTTTTTATTGATTGACAAATTATAAAAAATAATTAGAATTGAAGAAATTTT